CATCATCGGTATTATATTTAATAATAAATGTATAACGCGATCCTATAACACATTTAATCGGCAGTTTATACCAATTGCGCTCTAAACAATTTAGGATCGATAGACCAATTGTGCTCAAAAAWTTTTTCAATTTTCTCAGTTAGTTATAAATGTATAATTATTTATAAATTAATACACTTTGAAGTATCAATAATCATAATATATAGTATTGGATATTCCACCAAAGCTGGTGAAKGTCAATCTTAAATACTCTTTACGTATCTAGCTACTTACGAGTACTCGTACTGACTAATTGATTTCGACTAATGACAATTTTTCCGCAGAAAAAGCCATCAGTATGGGCATGGACAAAAACGTAGCCGTATGGCTGGTGTCCACGACTGGTCTGACGAACACTTTCGGGAGAGTAATTTGTGGTTGGATATCCAGTTACGAATCCATAGATCCGATCCTGGTGAACAACGTGTCTCTCACATTTGGAGGGCTCTATACCGTTTTGCTGCCGTTTCTCCCGTACTCGGTGTTCTCATACTACTTGTACGCATCGCTGTTCGGATTTTCTATGGGTGAGCACCTTGGTTTACGTACATTGATTAAGAAAACTTATATAATACCCCGTGGCTGTTCATCAGTCTTATCTACATATCTAATATGTATAGATAAAATCAGCGTATATCTAATATTTATATTTTATGGAGAAAAAATACAAAATTTATATCAATAAACCTCTATCTAAGATGAAAGCCATAGCCATCCAAATAAAGTATTAATTGCACTATCATTTAAATTGTTTATCATTTATCCACAATAGGTAAKGTTAGGTACTTTAGACTAATACCTATATTAGTAATGATATTTTCTACGTAACAAAAAAAATGTGACTAAATCATGTTTTAAGATTATTATATGTAAAAAAATATCTGATTTCTATCTAACTATACTTATTTAATATTTTATTATCTAACTAGATCCAGATAATTGTTGGGTTTAGATAATCTTATCTATATCTAGATAAATAAAAATTATCTAAACACAACGCTGCTTGAATACAAGGTGTGCTCCATTCATTTATCTCGTGTTTGTCCTCAGACAACCGTTCAAACTTTTCGACACTTACACACCACTCGAAAMTGGATTAAGAGTTTTGGCCCCCCGGGGTTATTTTTATTGTGGCATCCCTACATTTTCCAATATAAACCTTATTAAATTCWACTCAGAACATAATACATATATTGTAATACCTATAAACATTTTTTCGTATATATAAGGATTTAAGTGTCCTTACCAACATTATTATTGTTCAACTTATTAATGAAATTAATAAAAATATAGCTTTTACTCGCTTTTTAGGTTGTGTTTAGTATTCATTACAAAAATAACTTCAATAGTAGAATATTCTATCAAGCCACTGCAACCAGAAAGAAGATTTGTTTAGGTTTGCACACGGCGCGTGTGAAGAAATTACGAAATTTATAATTTTAACTTTAAATCATATTCACGTGCATGTTTAACTCCATATTATTGACAGTCTTTGATTATTAAGTAACACGATTCCAAAAATTAAAAAAAAAAAATTTTTTTTTTAGCTTGTTTCGCGTCTTTGAGATCGACCATGATAGTCGAACTGACTGGTCTCGAACTGCTTACGAACGCTTTCGGTGTCCTGTTGATGTTCCAAGGAGTTGCAGCTGCCGTTGGATCTCCGTTATTGGGCAAGTACACTAAGTGCAGTTATATAATCAAACTTAAAAATAAATAAACTCTGTTACGCATAAACGAGGGATTTTTGAGAGCTCACGCGACTAACATTAATAGTACTTTTCCATGTTTTTAGGTCAATAGAGGTTAGGTTTTATTGAGAGGCATTCATTTGRGTGAATAATCCTAAATTTACCTGAGTAGAGCGTATATCAATTGACTGAAAATTATACTAATTTTTGTTCGAATGTTGTGTATAATCTCTTGAGCTTAGTAATTATGTATAAATAATCATRAATGAGGAAACCAATATTGGAATGTTAATTATAAATCAAATAAATTATTTTTATTTGAAATAATGTGTATAAAAGTCAATAAAATTGTTAGGGACCGCGGCTAGTTCGGTTTCAAAACGGACCTCCATAGAAATTAGTTGTTGACCCCTGCCTTATGGCTTATACCCTCGCAAAAATGTCTGAAAGGGAGAAAATTACGMCATTGAATATCAATCTAATTTACCTATCGATTATTAATACCTTTACCTTTTATTCATACAGGGCTATTTAAAGATTGGACTGGAACTTATGATATGTCGTTTTATTTGTCCGGCATAATATTAACCATGTCGGCGGTCATCTGCTACCCGCTTAGAAGAATCAAAAAATGGGAAGTCGACCGAAAACTGAGGCGACCCAATAGCGTTTGATTACTACAGCACATATATATTACTTTGAGGAGAAAAATCAAATTTGACTCTTACCTGCCATATAGTTTTTATTTGTCGATCGCGACGATACTATATATAATATTATGATATCCGTCTCGAGGGTGTTTCAAGTGCTCATTATTATATAATATTAAAACGAATAGGAACGTGTGTTTATTGTGTCTTCTGATCACAATACTTTTTGTATACGCATTACAGTTCGTATAGATTTAATCATCGCGACGATATAYCATAATATAATATAAATATTATATGTATTGTTGTCTTGTAAAATATGACTAAATATTATTGTAATTGTAATACGTTATGAATCATTATTATAATAGGTATATTATTGTATGTTTAAAATGTATATTATGTTGAATGTGAAAAGTAAAAATAAAAAATAAAATTGTATT